TTTCTGAAGCAATGATCTTATCCTTTCATTATGATAAGGAGCAGTAGATAATAGCATAAGTTCTGGAATGAAACCCTGGTTTTGCTACTAACTCCTTGTCTGATATTAGGTAACCTTTTACTTCTGGACTCATCTAATGGGAGACTTGAGATATGCATATAAAGCTACTAGTGTGGTGATGGAAACTTAATTTTTCAACTGGAAATGGCCCTAATGTACATTTGACCATGTTATTATGAGTAAAGGAACTTAAGCATCGGTTACAGTGGTGGTAAATTATTAGTGTAAGAATATGAACCATTTGTCTTACAGAGTTTCCTACAGTTTAGATTCTACAAGTTGTGTCTCCAGAATATTTTGTCCCCTTTTGGTCCTCTATATTTCTGGGAATTAGTTGTGGAATCTCAGCCTCGGATGTTAGAGCTTTGATGAGATGAGATTCATGCCACTATTTTTGGTCTGACTACCTCATAATTGGTGGTGTGTTTTCCCATCAGGAAGCACATATCTGGTTCTCTCTCTCTCTTTTAGTGATGTTAGTGACTATTGATGATCCATACTGGATCCAAATTCATCATAAGTTTCAAACTGGTGATGTTCTAACATACGTCAGACTTGTTATGTGTATTAGCTAAAGTATTTCTATAAAGAGAAAGTTCCCCATCTACTGTTTTCTTACTCAGTGGTATTTTCATTCTTTATACATTTCAGTTCAGTGTAAGAACTGGTATTTCAATGAAGACACAGTACATTAGAGCTTCAAAATATTTTTTCTTTTTTTAAACAATTTTTTTAATGTTTATTTTTGAGACAGAGAGACAAAGCGCGAGCAGGGAAGGGTTGGAGAGAGAGGGAGATACAGAATCTGAAACAGGCTCCAGGCTCTGAGCTAGCTGTCAGCACAGAGCCTGACGCGGGGCTTGAACCCACAAACCGCGAGATCATGACCTGAGCTGAAGTCGGACGCTTAACTGACTGAGCCACACAGGTGCCCCCAAAAGATTTTCAATTTGATCTAATTCGACACTTTATTTTATGGGTGAGAAAAGAGTCCTAAAGAGGTTAAATTAGCCTTTTAATTTCTAAAAGTTCCTTAGTAGTTATCAGAGTCAACAGGAAAGAAGATAATTTGATGTGGGTTTATTTGCAGAGAGACGAATTACAAAGGTATGGAAGAGAAGGGAAACTTTGAATGACTGTGCAGGAAAGTGGGGCTAGTGGTTTCACCATTTCTAGGTACCAGAGAACAAGGTGAGGGACAGTTAAGAGACCCTGTAGGTAAGTGGATCCTATAGTATCCACCCCAGGAATAATGACTTCCTGTCGAGGAACATAGCCAGCCTGAGATGACTCATAAAATCCCAATCCCCTTCTTCCCTCAGATCTCCTGCTTGGACTCACCATTGACCAGTCCAATTGGTAAAAACAAAGCAAGGAAGCCCATTGATTTAATTCATACAAATTAGCCTCCTGAAGCAGAGCCTATGGGGATATGAACGCAGAGTAGATCTCGGGGGGGGGGGGGAGAACTCAGGAACAGCAAAGTCAGGATTTGGTTCATAATCTTCCTTACCATTTTACCATGCATTCAAATCTTTGCTTACATATACAGATCTTCTACCTGTAGAAATAATTCATGGTCCAGGATGACGTTACTTCCTCTGGAATGAATTTTGTTTGCCGAATGCCTAGAACTACCTTAATCCAATTTTAGGGTTTGAGACTTTTCTGTGGGTTTCTCTAGTATCTGGAGACAGGGTGTTGTCCATGTAAAGGTCACTTTACTTTTAACTCATCCCTACTTCTTGACTATATCGTCCTTGCTTTTGTCCTTTGAGGTGTGGCCATAACTGTAGCTCAGCCTTTCAGCTGCCTAATTCACACTCACAAACATGGCCAGGCCAAAAGCAGCCCTAACTGTGAAGACACCATCCGGATCTCTGGCCTCTCTTCCAAAATCTGGTCAGAGAGTTCCTCATTACCTCATTAGAGCTTTAATGGCTTTATTTTAAATTTCAAGTTTTGTTCAGTATTCTAAGACTTATTCAGTGAGAAGGAACTGTCTAATCTGTCATCATCAGAAGCAGAAATCTCTCTCTTGTATTTCTCTAGCTCTTTATTTAGAAAATTCTTTGCTCTACCTGTTGTGTTCTCAAATATATCCTAAGACCCATTTTTAAGTAGAAGTAGAATAGACTCTGAGAACATGATTCTCAGTTTTGATGCCATGCCTTTCAAAGGTATAAACATGTTAATGAATCTTTTTAAAAAATATTTATTGATCTTTGGGAGACCGCAAGTGGGGAAGGGACAGAGAGATGGGGACAGGGGATCCAAAGCAGAGTCTGCTAACAGGCTGACAGCAGCTAGCCTGATGTGGGGCTTGAACTCACAAACTATGAGATCATGACCTGAGCCAAAGTCAGACGCTCAATCGACTGAGCCACTCAGTGCCCCTGTCATAGAATCTTTATGATACTATAATTCTAGTATTCACTAACCGTGAGTCAATCCCTGTCAAAAGCCTGTTATTTGTGGTAGGACCTAAGTAATGTTACCTTTCTTTTTTGTTGGGTTCCTTTTTCTTCTTCTTCTTTTTAAAATGTTTATTTATTTATTTTGAGAGAGGGAGGGGAAAAAATGCACGTGCTTGATCCAGCATGAGTGGGAGAGGGGCAGAGAGAGAGAATCTCAAGCAGAATCTACCCTCAGTGCAGAGCTCAACGGGGCTTGATCTCAGGACAGTGACATCATGACCTGAGCTGAAATAGAGTTGAGTGCTTAAATGAGTCACAGAGTCGCCTCACCTTGGGTTTCTTCTTTCATTGATTTAGAATGCTAAGAGCTATGAGCTTTAGTGAGTTAGTTAATATCCTCAATTCTTCAAATTTATTAAGGTAATATAACCAGAAAGTATTGCATCTGATTTATATTATTTTAGAGTCCTCTGAAATACTTTCATCGCACTAATATTTAATATTATGTTCGTGGCTTCTAACAATATTAAATATAGATTTGAAGAACGCATATAATTTTTTACAAATCCATATTCAATTGTATATGCTCTATATCAGTTCTATGTAATAAAGTCTATAGAGTTCAATAGCAGCACAAGACTTGTCTTTTCATATGAATATATGTACTCTTTATGTGTTTCCTTTTTATTTTGGCATCCAAATACACAGGGTTAAATTTAGCAATCAATTAAATTATTTATTCATCCCAGGTGCTTGATACTTCTCATTGGCTTCCTTACTGATTTCTGATACTTTTCTGATTTTTGATTTTCTGATACTTAAATTACTGATTCTCTGATATTTAAATACTTTTTAGAATTAAGAGTATATTGTATTCGCATTTATCTTACCTGAGGATATAGAGAAAGGTAAACTTGTCATCTAAAACAAAAGCTATCTAGCTAGGAGACCCTTGTCCATTTTAGGCTTAAATTCACTATTTTGCCTCTTCAGGAGCAAACCTGAAAACACAAGACAGACAGTTTTTTCCCCTGTTCACCATCACCATATTAGTTGTCCTTAAAAGTGCTCCTTCTTTAGAGACCAATTGCAAAAGCGCAAATTGCAACTCCTCGGTAATCCAATTAGAAAAAGGCTTTCATTCTTCCAGGACACTCTGAGCCAGGCTTGGCAAGCTGGAATAGACTGAGACTCAGTGCTTCACCTCTCTTCTCTGCCTCCACACAGGCCCCAGATCTCAGGTGTAAGTTGAACCATCTGAATTTAGGCATATTTGATTGTTTATCAGCTATAAAAATGTAAATTCGTATGGTTCAGTCTAATACACGGTATGTAAGTTAAATTAGTTAAATTATGTCATTTAGGGGGTGAGACAGCCTCAGTACAAACTAGAAGCAGTCTTTTATCATTGCACTGAGGTTTGGGTGCCAGTAATCCCTAACATCTTTAAAGTTATTAAATTAATTCAAAGCAAAACAAAACAAAGCAAAACAAAAATAAAAATTGTGTGTATGAAAAATGGCTCTGAAAAGATCTCGAAGGGAGGCAAAGACTAAGCGATCTTAAAAGGTATGGGCTTTAGAAAATAGTTTTATATATAATCTTAGACCTTGTTTGTGTAACAGAATGCAATTTGAAAATCTAGGTATTTTAGTTTTCCAGACATGCTCCTAATGAATTTGTAGTATGTATTGTTTCAGGCTAGGATGGGGTGGAGGATTATCTACTCCTACAGAAGTTTGTTGGCTTGACAAGTTTTTGGAAATAAAGAAGGTATGTGCCTTTTAGTAGCCTGCCAATATTTCGCTTCGATAAATCCATACTTTTCTAATGAGATCAAGTCCTAAGGCAGACGTGGATCATATAGATCCCAGCTGACATAATTTCCTTACTACACATTTACTTCTATCATTTCACAAACCTTTAGAAAAAGCTAACGTCATTTGCTTGGTTAAGAATACATTTGTGTAGCTGCGAGGTGTTTTTCCTCATTACTATTTCCTTCCCTCTTTGAACTCTACTACTCAACTGTTTCATCCTTCCTTTTCTTCTACGCGTGAATTTGCAGTAATAATTTGCATTATTCTACCTTATTCAGAAAACCCACTAATCTCGGTTCCCATCTCCGACATGGGAAGTCCAAAGTTGTTACTTGACTGCAACTTCACCAGTTTTCCAAACAAATAGAGCATTTTGGAGAAGTTCTCTGAAAACTTATTTGCTCTCCAAATAAGTAGATCTCTTCCTTTTCATCGCTCTTAAGCAATCCAGGTATCCTTCCCCCTCCCCTGCCGTGGTGCAATTAAAAAAAAAAAAAGAATGTCACTTAATTTCCTCCTTTCATTGGATGGCGCTCCGCGGAGTGGGGTACAAACCCCTTATTCCATCTCCGGAAAGTCTATGGCGCGAGCGGGTGAGGGGGGGGCGGAACTTTAAAACCCTAAATGAGAATGAGAAGTCGTTCAGCAGTTGGAACTAATCAATTTCTCCTTACTGCTAACGTAGCTACTGGGATTTTTTTAAATGAAAAGTAGAGGGAGATCTGATAAACTACGCCGGCCACTTCCGGAGCGCCACAGGCAGGAATCCTCGCCCACTTTAGGCCCCGGCTGCGGGGCGCTAGTCGAAATCCTCCGGCCTTGCGCAACCCTGCAGCCCCAGCGCTGCGGCGCCGCCCGCGGTACCAGACCGCGCGCAGAGCGAGCCCGGCAGGCGCCGGAGGGGGGCGCCGTGGCCGCGGGGACCGCCGCAAGTGCGTCGCCGACTAGCTCCGGGGCCCCGAGTGTTCGCAGGACAGGCTTTCTTTGCGCCACGCTGCCGTCGCGCGCGCTCCGGGCTTGGGCTCACTCCGGGTCTCCTTAGGCGGGAGTCCGGTGGGTAACGGCGGAGAAGCCCGGCCCGGCGCAGCGCCCCGGGGCCCAGCCGAAGTCCGCGAGCGGTCGGTTTCGTCCCGGCTAGAGCTTCCCAGCAGCGCCCTCCCCCGGGGCGGGCCCTGATCTCCGGTGCCGCGACGAGTGGGCGGCAGAAGCCGGTGGCCCACACGGCGAGCGGCTGCGAGGAGCGGCGAGACTCCCGCGGGGAGGCTGGCGCTCGGACGCAGCGGCCCCGGCGCGCTCGGACGAGAAACGAGGCCAAGGGAGGAGGAGGAAATAGAGCAGATGAAGGAGAGCTGCCGCCGAGGGAGGCGGGTCCTTTCGGCTGCGGCTGCTGCTGCTGTTCCGGGACGCAGCCCGGGGAGCCCGCCCGCCCGTGAGGTGCTGGCCAGGTAGCTCCCCACCCAGCGGGCACCCTCCTCGTTCCCTCCCAGCGCCCGGCACGGAAGAGGCCGGGGCCGCGCGCCCGGTGGCCAGGGCGCACCGCACCCCGAGCGCGGCGCCCTTGAGCTGCACCGCGGCGCAGGTTTGCGAGCCGACTTGTCTGCCCGCCAAGAGAAGGAAGCGCTGTCCCTTCCCGCTCAACCTGGCGTCCCCACCCCTTGTACTCTACACCCTGCCTCGGACGAGCGGCGCGGCCACGGAGGCGCCGAGGAGGGGCGAGCCGCCGCCGGGCAGCGGCGTCCCTTCGGGGGAAAGGGCGCCGGAGAGGAGGCGGCGGCGCGGCGCGGAGGGCGCGACTCGCGATGGCAGCTGCTTAGCCCGGCGCGCACGGAGCAGCCCCGAGCTGTGGCTGGCCAGACGGGGCGGCTGGGCTGGGGACGCGGCCGCCGCCGCAGCCCGGCCGGGAGAGATGAGCGCGGAGGCGGGCGAGGGCATCACTTTCTCCGTGCCACCCTTCGCGGAGGGCGGCAGCTGCCGGAGGGGAGCAGCGGCGGCGGCGGCGGCGGCGGAGGGGGAGGAGAGCCAGCTACCACCGCCGCCGCCGGGCAGCTTCTGGAACGTGGAGAGTGCTGCCGCCCAGGGCACCGGCTGTACCGCTGTCACCTCCGGGAGCAGCGCCACCCGGTGCCGGGGCAACTCTGGTGGCGGAGGCGGCCGACGGACCACGGTGGCATATGTGATCAACGAAGCTAGCCAGGGGCAGCTGGTGATGGCCGAGAGCGAAGCCCTGCAGAGCCTGCGGGAGGCGTGCGAGACGGTGGGCGCCACGCTGGAGACCGTGCAATTTGGTAAACTGGATTTTGGGGAAACCGCGGTGCTGGACCGTTTCTACAATGCAGGTGCGTGTGCAACTCCTTCCTCATTCTCCACGGTCAGGGGCCACGTTTTCCCTGGCCTCAGCAGGGGTTGGTCGGGGGTGGGGGTGGGGGGGGGGCGGCGGGAATGTTTTACTAGGTTCCAAGGGTGCTTCCTACTTACTTCTTGCCCCACCTTAAGAGCAGCGAGCGGCGCTGCATGACTGCTCCTGGCGCTCGCCGCTCCTGGGAGAGAGCGGGTGTTGGTGCAAGATCCTGTGTGTATTTGTGCCAGGCTCACCCACTGGCCCGCGCTGGAGCTCTGGGTCCGTGCGGTCCTAATAAAGAACTTTTCAGTTCTTCAACAGGCCGAGATATTGCCCCAATCAGGCCTTCTGCATTTGGTGTTCTGGGTTCTCTTCTGTTAAGTTTTGGCCCATATTTTACTTCTATATATACCTGTGACTGTTTTCGATGACGCTTTCATTTTTTCTATGTAGTTTGGGAAGTACAGAAACCACGCAGCCCGCTGCTCAGAGTAGATCCATACGAATTTGCATGTCGCGATCTTCCCGAGTGATTTTACTTTAACAAGCTTGAGTGTCCCAGTCTTATATCAATTTGAACTTCCAAGTCATTACTTCCAAAAGCCGTAACCTTGCAGCTTGCATTTAAACTTATGTGGTATCTTTGTTAGGATTTGGGGTCTGTTTTTTTGTTTTTGTTTTTGTTTTTTTTTTTTTTTACTACCCCATATATACCATGATGGTCTGGAAAGTATAATTTAACATTGTTTAAAATGCTATATGCTATTTTCACAACTAAGATTAGCTTGGCTGTTAAAGTGATTGCTAGCATAAGCTATAAAAAAAATCCATAAAAATCTCTTCAACCTAACACAGATTTCAGAAAGTGTCATTGCACTTCTAGTGACTGATGCAATTAGCTATCTGTTGGCTAATGTTAGGAATAATAACATGCTATTGAAATTAACCTTCAGTACCCTGTACAGCCAAATATGAGAATATATACATATTTATTTTTGTAAGTGTGGGCGGAAAATTTGATTTAATGGTGGTTTCAAACAATAAAGTTCGTGCATTTGTGATCACATAAAAGGTTTTATATTCCAATTTTGCTTTCAATTCTGATTCTCTTTAGTCTCTTCAAAACACCTGAAGTAGGCTTATGTCAGCTTTGGAATTCAGCCAAAGCTGAATATTTTAAGAACAAGAAGAACTTCATGTTAAGGAAGCCAGACTAAATAAACTAGGGCTTTCTGGTGGTGGTATTTTTTTTTACAGTCTTGGTCTTCATAACTGAACATAGTATAATATATTATAGCCTAGTTCTTCGTGTGACTTGCTATAAAAATTGCATAGACGTAACTTTTTCTAAAAATTACAGCACTCTTATTTTTGGCTTAAAATTTGGAAGAAGCTTCAAAGAACTGAAAGATACATGAGGAAAACACCCGAGCAAAAACTGAGCCTATTTTTATTGCACTGATAGATTCAGTATTTTTTTATAGGATTCTGTAAAAAAAAAAATCCTAAACTCCAAGCTAATTTGAAAGAAAGTTTCCTAACAAGGCTCAGTTACTGTTTATTCTCCAAATACTGTCTGCCTGTGGGAAAAGGAGAGGAAGATTACAAGGGAACAGACATTTGAACTGTATCTTGTTGAATTCTCCAAATAAGCCTAAGAAGGAAGTACTTATTTTTCTTCTTAGAGGAGAAAACCGAGGGCTCCATAACTGGCCGGGACTCATAGATGGTAACTGGTCAATGCAGGATTCCACTTCATGTGGCTGACCCTAAAAAAGGTCATCTTTGCCTTTGACTGCCTCTATTTAGCTGGGCTGATTTATTCCCAGAGTCAAAGGCAGCCCCGTATCTTGGAATCATGTTAAGGGTGAGCTGACAGGGACCTCACAAGCCGTACAGGGGCAGTGTGGAATAGTGAGGAGGGCACCCTGCGGGAAGACTTGTGTTTCCAAGCCAGCTCTATCCCATCTACTGCTTCACTGGGACCTGGGCAGGCCCCAATTTCACCCCTTCCTGTGTGCGTGACACCAACTCTGAGCCCTCTCATTTAGCACTGAAGATGTGACAGAATGATGATGCTATCAATTTCGTCCAAACTCTGTTTTTCTCAGCTGAGGGCTGCCGAGAGTTTGATGGTGGTCGAACCTGTCTTCCGACTTCTGAGAGAGCACTCACTCCTCCTCCACCAGGGACTCGTTTTTCTGTAAAGGGCCAGATGGCAAATATTTTAGACTTTGCAGGAGGTCTTCTCTCATAGCTACTCAACTCTGCGGTTGTTACGACAGCAGCTAGCTTAGTACCTAAACAAGTGATTGTGGCTGTGTTCCAGTAAAACTTTATTAGTGGGCCTTGAGATTTCAATTGCATATACTTCATAAAATAGTATTCTTTCAATTATTTTGTAAAAAAAAAAAAAAAAAGCCATTCTCAGATTGCAAGCTGTATCTAAACAGGCCTGGCAAGATTTTTGGCCCCGTGCCATGCTGTCTTTTGTTCTACCTACATTTACTACCTTCACTTAGAAGCTGAATCACCAAGATTTACTCAGCAGAACAGTGTCCCTCAAGTTTGATCTGAGTTTTCATCCTGGCTCGGCTCTGAAGTGTGTAATTCTGAACAGAACGCTTAGTCTCCTCCAAAAAGATCTGATGAGGGGGGGAATCGAACTAAATTTCTTTTTTTTTTCTTACTTATTTTTAAAAATGTTTACTTATTTTTGAGGAAGACAGCAGGGGGAGGAGAGGGCTGGAGAGAGAGGGTCAGAGGATCCTAAGCAGGCTCTGTGCAAACAGCAGAGAGCCCAGTGCTGGGCTCAAGTTCATGAACAATTAAATCATGACCTGAGTCGCAGTTGGTCACTGACTGAGCTACCCAGGAGCCCTGAACTACATTTCTAAGATTCCCTCATTTAATCCTGTGAGTTTGCAAAGGTAAGATAGCATGGAAGGCTGGGATAGAGCATCAGAACAAGACTGACCAGATCTGGATTCTGGCCTTTGGTTCTTCTCTGATTTGGAGTAAGTCATGTAAAATCTCAGAAAAGTGGGGCACCTGGGTGGCTCAGTTGGTTAAGCATCCAACTTTGGCTCAAGTCATGATCTCGTGGTTCACGGCTTTAGCCTCTGCATTTAGCCCTTTGCTGACAGCTCAGAGCCCAGAGCCCGCTTTAGTTTCCCTCTCTCTCTCTCTATCTCCCTCCCCTGCTCACACATTCTCTCTCTCTCAAAATTAAATGAATAGGGGCACCTGGGTGGCTCAGTCTGTTAAACATCTGACTTTGGCTCAGGTCATGATCTTATGATCTGTGTTGGACTCTGTGCTGACAGCTCAGAGCTTGGGACCTACTTCAGGATCTGGGTCTCCGTCTCTCTCTGCCCCTTCCCCGCTAGCGCTTGCTCTCTCTTGGTCAGTCTCTCTCTCTCAAGAAGTAAATAAACATGAACAATAAATAAATGTTACAAATGTTTTTTTTAATTTCAGAAAAGAATGGAAGCTTAGAATAATTGGTCTGTCAAATTCTGTACTTTAAAATTACATTAATATAAAATGAATTACATTATAAGTTATACACAAATACATAAATTTATATACATAAATTACATTAATACAAAATGAATTATTTCATTTCAGTCTCTAGAGGTGACAGCTGAACTTGTATATATCATGTTCTCAGCCCCTCAGGGAATTCAGGGTGAGTGGAAAGGACACATATCAAGTCTAGCTGTGGCAGGGCCTCTGTCAAGATCCTTACAGAATGCCTTGGGTCGGGGCGCCTGGGTGGCTTAGTCGGTTGGGCGTCCGACTTTCCCTTAGGTCATGATCTCGCGGTTCGTGGGTTCGAGCCCCGCGTCGGGCTCTGTGCTGACTGCCAGCTCGGAGCCTGGAGCCTCTTTCGGTCTGTGACTCCCTCTCTCTCTGACCCTCCCCTGCTCACGCTGTCTCTCTCTCCTAGAAATAAATAAAACATAAAAAAAATTTAAAAAAAAAAAAAAGCCTAGGAAGAATAACAGAACAATTTAAAAAAAAAAAAAAAAAAAAAAAAGAATGCCTTGGGTCCCAGGAAACATTCTAGAATCAGACTGGGGGTAGGGCAGGTTCAGAGGTGACAGCTGAACTGAGATGGAAGGGTGAGCAAGAACTACTCGGAATAGCTCAGTTTACTGGAATGGACAAGAACTTAAAGCTGGGTTACGTTTTTACCAGCTTCTCCCTATCTATGTGTCCTGGGGTCTTTTGAAAGAATAGACAGCTGTTGAAGCTTTTCTCTATTTGATTATTGTTTAACCGTAATCTAGTTTGTTCTTTGACTACACTTGTCATTTTCTCTTTCATTCTCGTTCTGAGAGGAAACTAATGTTCTATCGAAGCTTTTGTGAAAATTCATCATGTTTACGTGTATGAGACTGTCCCTTGGAGATGGCAACTGGCAAGCTAAGAACACCCCTTCCCAGCCCCCTGCATTGTAGTCAATTTCTATACAATTTCTATACAAATGAAGACGTGTCAGTGATACATTAGTGATACAGAGCTACTCCATTCAGGTAGATGGGTCCAACTGGCAGCATCTCAAAAAAAATTATTTTTAATGAACATCAGTTCTGTGAAGTATAGCTAGAATAGGCTTCATTCACCCCCCTCCCCCCGCCTTTTTGCTTAGAAGGAAACTGAACCATAAAGAGATCATATTCATTTATTCAGGTGAAATGGCATAAAGTTGCTGCTTGGAACCAGGAGCATACTTTTGTTTAGAAATAGTCTTATAGGTGTTGGTTAGGTTTTGGGACTAGCCTGTGAGAAGCCTTGTGAACTCAGTGCACTTGAAATATGAAACCCACTCATTATTTATTTATTTTTTATTAAAAAGTTTTTAAAATATTTATTTTTGAGACACAGAGAGACAGAGCTTGAGCAGGGGAGGGGCAGAGAGAGAGAGGGAGACACAGAATCCAAAGCAGTCTCCAGGCTCTGAGCTGTCAAGCCTGACATGGGGCTCGAACC